AGGTGGGAACCGCGAGTCGCGGTTGGGTCAGTGTGAGGCGGTTGATGTCTAAAATTTTTATTCGACCTCTCGCTTTACCCTTTGTGGAACTATTATCATGCAGAGCAGAGCAGTGTATACATAGAGACATTATTCATTATCTTGCGTTTTTGGCACAGTTTCTCTTTAATCACAGATCAAAGCCTCCGAAGGCGGTGGTGGAAAAGGTATCAGGAAATGCAAGAACGAGGCGGATTTCAAAGAGAACTTTGTTCAAGTGCAAACCGAAGTGCCTGGATCGCCCATCTTCATTATGAAGTGCGTCGAGAATGCAAGACATATCGAAGTCCAACTCATAGCCGACAGGTGACTACATTACATTTGAAAGTTCATGTATTAGGGTTATATCTACACTATTTCAAAGTAGAACTTTGAAAGCCTAATTCTGTCGTGTTGATGCATTCGTTTAAGATATGAGAACGTAATTCCGGTATTCACTCGTGACTGTTCTATTCAGCGGAGATGTCAGAAGATTATTGAGGAGGCTCCCGCGAGTATCGCTCCCAAGGAAACTCTTAGGAGAATGCAGGAGGTAGTGTCGTTCTAAATCTAGACGCTCATGTTCAATTTTTTTTGCAATATTAATTCCGTGTTTATTCGGATTTATACCAAAGTTGATGTGTTTGTAGGATGCGGTTAAAATTGCCAAACTAGTTGGTTATGAATCGGCTGGTACTGTGGAATACATGTACCTTCCAGACGAGGACAAATATTTCTTCCTTGAACTCAATCCGAGACTTCAGGTGTGTTTGATTACAGGACAGTTATGAAACCGTTTCCAGCCATCTTACCCACTGCCCGATCAGTCTGATATAAGCCAACTTGAGTCAGTTAAATGGGCAACATGTAGGTTTTCCGAAAGCTTCCATTTCCATAGTTCCGCATTTTCCAAATTCCCAGCGCTAGCTAATCGTTCTAATAAGTGAATGTGACTATTCTTAACTTAAAACATGTTCTTGATTTTCCTTTAGAACCTTGCAAAACGTCGCATTTTTTCTAGGCAGCCCAGTGTGATTGAAGCACTCCATCTAGACATTTGAGTCATGCTTGACTTGCTGCTCACCACACTTATGAGGGGATTGGTGGCTTAAATGGCCTATCTGAATGTTTTAAAGTACCCTTTGATCTGGCGTCCACGTCCGTGTCCACTGTAGCTTCACAGCACATGGAACGACCGCTTTTACAGATGGTCTGTTTTTGCAACAGATATTAGCCGGGTTGCAGTTGCATTCAGTGTAATTGTCAGTGTCAGTAATTACAACTGTTCATTTGAAACTACTCGTTATCAGATTTACTCGGAGGCCACGCTTTCTGTGTTTTTTAGAGTCTGTAGAACAGATTCCCTGGCCCCAGATACAGATGGTATATGAAAACAGTGAAAAGATAAAAGCATGAGATTAAGAGATCTAAATGGACGCCGAGCTAATCTCTGTGCAGTCTGCATGGCCATGGGGTAGTGGTCGAGCTCTCGCCACGCAGGCGCTCCGTCTGTGGGCGCACGCATAGTCGGTCGGACGACAGCAACGATCGTAACTGTCGCACAGCATTGGATGCGTATCGATCGTCGGACTTGCCTGAGTATTCGACGATTAGATGCAGTTAGACAGTCAGACAGTTGCGATCGTTGCTGTCGGACGACCGACTATGCGTGCGCCCTGTTTGCTCCCGTGGTTACTTTTTGCCCAATGTGCTTTAGGCGCAGGTGGATTCATCACGAAACGGCAATTTAATACTACAAAATGGATTCCATTTTAGTGATTCGATCGCCAATAACTTTGTGCGATTTTACCGATCTTTGTGGAGAGAGGTTGTGACACCAGATTTATGCCAAGTAATACCTGCGTTAAAATGAATGTCATGTTGGTTTAAGAAAATGGTCAACGGATTGATGAAACTCAAAATCCCACAGGTTGATCAGTGCGGAGGGACCATTTCATTTTGTTAGTGGAAGCCGACGATTATGTCATGCTCAATGTGTCTACATTTATTGAAACTTACGTTGAGAGGGACAAATCACTAAATAGTTAAGTCTCAGCGCAACGTTGAAGGTTCAAGAGGTGTGCATGACATCTTGATTGGGGTGACGACACTCATCCTCAGGTGTGCCTGGTATGAAAAAGCTAACCAATGTGTGGAGATTTAGGTCGAGCATCCTTGCACCGAAATGCTGGCCAGCATCAACATTCCTGCCATTCAAATGCAGATCGCAATGGGTCTTCCACTGAATAGGATTACTGATATTCGACTGTTTTATGGTAGTTATACAAAGCTCCACGCAAGTGGAATAGTACAACCTTTTTCTATTATTTTTTCATTTCTCGCAAAATAGTGCGATTATCTGGAGGGAGAATATTTTCAGGACTGGATAGGTATGGCACTACTCCACTTCCGGACGAAATTGTTTTAACGGATACTGAGTACAGTGTAATCGCTGCTCGAATCACTTCTGAGGTAGGAGCACTTATCAATGCATTCGTTGCCATTCTTAATCGATATTTTTGGTCTCTGTGGACGAATTCACATAAATGTAGTCTGCTGTTGGTTCTAGAATCCTTAAGAGTTTTGAAAGTTAAATCTAGTTTCCGCAAACTGAGTTCATAGCATCCCACTGTCGACAGCGGTCCGGATACGCTTAGACTACGGTGCAACCCGAGAATGAATGTACCACTCCTTTCTTCATACAGCTGCAGATCACTCATCGTATTCCTTCGTGTGGGATAGCGCTCTATTGTGGTCATGGAATGTGCGTAAAACGTATATCTAAAACGCGCGCTGTCTTCCTTGATGTCGTACTGGATGAAAAGCTTGTTACCAGGGTCGAATTACCATGTGAATTCACTAGAAGTACGTGTGTGATCATGTGTGTGGGTATTTGAATTCGCTGAAAGAGCCGTTCTTAATTTCTTTAACTTTTGGAAATTTGACTATGAATTGTGGGACATGTGTAGGACGGTGGACTGTGGCATAGGTGAGGTTCGCGTCACACACGTCACACCCTTAAGCTTACCAGGAAAGGTCAGTTGGTCAATCCGTCCATTTGAAATGAGCTGAACACGTATATACGAGCCTTGTGGTAAGGTCAAATCTGCTTTCGTTATTTGCGGAACGATTCCGTAAAAGAAGTTATGAATCAAGAAAGCGTAGCCAATGACCCTGGCTCACTGGCAGTGTTCGTGGGTTGACTCCAGTGTGACTCCGTAATTGTGGTTTTTTTTTCAAAATATGTTTGAAAGTTTTCTAGCGATATTTATGAGCTCAAACGTGTCTGAACTCGAAGTCCAAAACTCAAAAAATTCATTCAATTTGTCTGGATTATGGTAGCATACAGTAGCGCTCAAAAGTCTTCGGCTAAATGCATTTTCGGCCGTAACTTTTTTTGCTGACATCAAATCATTCACTACGGAAATTTGTTCGACAATGATCACTTCAACTAAATAAATTTTAGATTATTGCTAAAAGGTTTCACTCAACAAAACTATAACGATCGATACCAAATAACTTCGTATAATGTATGCTATACGAAGTTATTAGCCGTTAGAGTTGCTGAAACCTCAACACGGCTAAGTATAGAACCAGTCAATGGAAGCATTATCTATTGTAACAACATTCTCAATTTCTTCCAAAGTTGACGAGTTTCTCGCCCTGGGCCTTTTTTCGCCTCAACCTTCTCTACCCTTTTTTGTAGTGTCTCAGTGACGCTCGGGACATGTGACTTAAGTTGTCCCTCCGTTTAAGGCGCGCCATGCTGTCGAAAGCGCTCGTGCACTGTTGAAGGGTGCGCCATTAGATTTTGAATCGCTTCTATTGCTTGTAGAAGCAAGAGTCAGTTTGGTGTAGGTACCATACAACTGAATCGGCTGCACTTATCCATCCGGGGTTGTAGTCGAAGGACTCTGTTTAGTCAGAATAGAATTTTTGGGAACCACCAATTTTTCGTAACAGAATAGGTTCTCAAATGATGAATCATCATCGTGAAAGCAGTTCTGAGCGGGACAATTGCCGAGGGTCATGGTTCTACGTCCTTGCCTCTTTGGAGTTTTCCCTCTCGAGCAGATTCGCAGGAGGGACATGGAAAAAAATGGGTAGTCAAGTAGGAGAGAGGTCATCAGGTCGGCATGTGAAGTGAAATATCATGCGTCAGTTTGTTTCAGTTTTTTCGAAGACGTTGATGGGATAGGTTGTCAGCTGATCGTCATGGAGACGGGTAGTTACATCTCCCTTGGTTGGAGAGTTGAGCATTTCTCGAGCACCACGAATTAAATCATTTCAAATTTCAACATTTTTTGGAGAACTCTTCTCATTGAAGTAGCAACTTGGCAATGATTGAAAGAAAGGTTTGAGAAAAAACAAGAAGAAACTAAAAAAAACGATTACTCGAAAAAACTTTAAATTATTTTCCTGAGGGTGTGGAGCAAGTTTAAGTAAATTTTCAAATTATTGTAAAGAGCTCAAAAAAGCAACCTACCGCATGATCAAAAAATTATTAAGCAGATTCAATACTTTGTTGGCACCCTTCTGGAGTTGCTGAAATCTCAACAGGGCTCAAGTGTGGAATCAGTCAATGGATCACTGTCTAGTGGGACAATATCCTTCCCTAGCCTATCTCTTTTTTTCCTAGCGTTTCCCTATTCTTTTCTTACCGTGTTTTAAGACACTCAGGACATGCGTCTGAATTTGTCTCTCCCTAAAAGCACACTGCTACTAAAACTACTCCTTCACAGTAGAGTATGGTACTTTTGGTCGCTCTATTGCTAGGAGATGAAAGTAGTGCCTCACAGGTGCCATACGTGTGGACATTACCTAGAACCTAACTGTGTTCGTCGGTCTTGTCAATTTAGTGCGGACCTGTCAATTTATCCGACTGGGAGCTGGCTCTAACATCAGCAGGAACGACGAGATTTAGAGCGTTTTTCCGGCAGATAGGTCATTTGTGTAGGGTCCGCGACGGAAAACGCTCCATTTCAAAGTGTCATTTTGTACTTTTGGCGGAGGGGCCAATTCAGACGCAGTTGAGCGTCATCAAAACAGTATGGAAAAGGATAGGCGAACCTTGGGCGAAAAAAGGAACTAGGAATATGGACGAAAAACTCGTCAAATTCAAAAAAAAAAGCTTTGGAGGTTGTTCTATAAGTAGTGCATTCATTGACTGATTCCTCACTTAGGCCCTGTTGATGTTTCAACTACTCCAGAAGAATATCAACAAAGTATTCAATCTGCTTAGTGTCAATTCATCATGCGATAATTGTTTTGTATAATTGTAATCTTTCTACAATTAGAAATTTACTTGACTTGATCACACTTAAGAATTTCTAGTGAAATGATTTTTTCTTTCTCAAGTCTTTCTCCCAATCAACACTAATATGCTATTTTAGTGAAGAAGGCTTGCCTTCAAAACATATTGAAAATTGAACTGATTTGATTCAGCAGAAAAAATTACAGTCGAAAAAGATTTTACCGAAGGTTTTTGAGTGCTACTGCATACACCAGCATCTGTCTACCATACCATACCCACGATTTGTTCCGGAATCGCTCAACTCTCCAACCAAGGGAAGTGAAGCAACCCTCCTCCATGATGACCTGAGCCACCTTCCCATCAAAGGCAACGCAAAAACTGAACAAGCTTTCGTACGGTACTTCGCTTCACAAGCCGTCATCATTTGACCTCTCTTCTACTATTACACCTGTTTTTCCATCCGTATCGACAACTGCTTGAGTGAAAAATATAAAGGTCAAGTGATGTGGAAATTTTCGGCGATTTTCCCGCCTTCAGAATTGCTCATTTTCATGATGATGATGTATCGTTTGAGGACCTATTCTGAAAAATTGGAGGTTTCCAATAGTTTTTATTCTCACTGGAAAATTGTCCTCAAATTGGCCTTTTACCTTTAGTTTTACTTACTTTTCATTCAAATTTCCATGCTTATGGCCTTGGTCTGGTGCTCAACAACAGTGGCACTCACATGAGTATTAAATAAATAAATAAATTGAGATATGTCTCTTTGGAAGTAGAGGTCAAAAACTCGCATTACTTTCCGATCCACCGAATATTATAATTCTTGAATTTTCTTCTAGTGTGACCGTTCAGTCCGGAATATCTTTGCTATGTGAAGATTACAATCTCCCCATATCTATGTTATAATTATTCATTTCAATTTTGATTTTATTTCAATGCCACGATTTTGTGAAATGAGAAACATACCCTTGGAGTGTGAGGTCCTCCTATAGTCCACAGCCTATCCTCATCCAGCTCGCGCAATATCTATGTATGCGTTCCTGGCTCAAACCTTGTACAGCGCCTATCCTGATCCTCGAAAGTGATTCTTTTTCACCTACAGGAACGAGATGCACTCTCTTTTCTCTATGTCAATCGTCCGCAACAATAAATATTTCTTAACTTTTAGTGCCAGTCTACGACTTTTGATGTTTTGATCTTTCGTGTCAGAACGGAACGGATGTTGTTTCAGACAGTTGGCTGGCTTGTGCTACAGGGCTGTAGTGCAACTTCGATAGGCAGACACTCACTGCAAGGCACTTCTTGAAATATGCCATTTTTTGAAGAGAAAAAACTTTTACTTTTTATCCTCCGTATTTTGTTATTCTGGATTTCCTTCTTCTTTCCACCTTATCATAGCAATCGTGTGAGACTAATGGTCCCATCCTAGTTTCCAAGGAGTAACTGTTTGAAGTGTAGAGTTTTCCCACAGTAACGGAATTAAAACCGAACAGGCAAAGGTGACGAAGAATTTGAAGATTGAGCGCGGTGGGCATTATCCTATGTGTCACTTTTTATCCTCCGTATTATAGCAGCAGTTAAGGTGACTAGCAGTAATTGGAAGAAAATATGGTAGTTCGGTCTTGTATTCTCCTCTTCTCCTCAATTTCTTTAAAGCAACAGTCCAGGCAGGGTTTCAACTACTTGGTCATTAGGCGGTCAAAACATGCCCCAGCCCAACTAAAGTTTATAGGAAATGTCTTTAATTTCAAAACCTACCTCTAAAATGCGCTGGAAGGGGTCGAAGTCCTCTTGGAGGGGGCGGATCACCCATAAAGAGGCGGATCGCCCAACATTCGCTGTGCAGAGCGCTTGCTCGACTAGCGGTCGTTGCGGGACCGCCGCGCTGTATGAGGTCGATTCCATAAGAACGCAAATTGAAGCGCTTCAATTTCGATTGCTGGCAAATAGTTATGTATTTGCAAGCATGCATGGCTATTTGCCAGCAGTCAACTGGAGCGCATGTACTACGGGCAGGTTCGGACAACTCGTCCAACACACATCTCCCTAAACGGCAGGGGGAGTCCCTGTCTAAGCCCCTGCCCGACGTTTTTTTCTACTTTTTCTTTCTCCATTGACCAACTTCTCACCTGCAACGTCATTATAGGTGGTCCTTACCCGCGAATTCGTTCCTGGATTGTTGCTTTAACTAAAACATTGTCGAGGTAATTTGAAATGACCCCTTCAACGGGTGCGAGGTGTTGATATTATTTTATCAGTTCTGTGAGAGTTATGGGCTACCTTGCCGGAGGTTTAACCCATTTGCGACAATGTTGGCCCCAATAGGCTGACAGACTTTGTAGGAAGTTTTTGTCATGCCAGGCCTGGG